TTATAATGTGGACTACAAACCTTCTTCTCATCAAGGACCCTGCAGCGTACGGGAAGTATTACTGTATTTTCTAGGCTCAGGGTCATTTTTCGTATTGAAAATCCCACAATTATGAAGGCAAAAGCAAGATATGCACTTAATCAGGCTTCATACAGAAAAATGACATGCTTTACTAGAGGTAGAAGGGTTTTAGTATTTGAGTCTGGAAAGAAAAGGTACATGTGTGGATCTCTATCTCTCTTTTGTAGAAGCACTCCTGAAGAAGTTTTGTGGAAGCACTCCTGATCCCCCAAAAGGCTTAAAAAATACCAAACAAAAAATTATCACCTTGAGTGCATCTGTCCTGGGATAGGAGATGGGTAGGAAGGGAGCCCCTGTTTGGACACTGGTTGTGTGTGCAGTGGGAAGGGCATTTGGGAGTTTTTATCTTCTAAAGAAGCTTCCCCTCTTCTTGTGGACACTTCGTTTCTAGTGAGGAGTCAGCAGAGGTGAGTTGCTTCTGGTGCATAGAGAGACTTACAGTGCCAGAGGGTTGACAGGACAAGGGATGGTCATAAGCAGCATCAGCAAGATGTGATACTAGCCGTGGATCTACAGCAGTATCCCATTCTACCCCATTCATACAGAGCTTATTGTTAATAACCCAGTCATGTTTCAACATTGCAGTAAGCAATTACTACAGTATGAGCTTGGCAATATTTCCTGTATCCTAAGTTTAATAGCACATCAAGTCTCAGTCTGAGAATGTGTTTAACTTAGGATACAGTTACAGTGACTAGATGTACTAATGTTTATAGCGTAATAAGGGATATGCACTTCTAAAATACTGTGTACTTTGACAGGCAGTATGAGTGATCCATTATGGTTTATCTAGGTCTGGGATTTTTTAGAATCTCATGATGATCCTTGGATTTCCAAAATACAGAGAAACCCCAGAGCAGTGCTAAAGTGGAAAGGAGCCATAAGAAACCACGGGCTTATATCATGCTGCCATGGGGTATTACTCTGCTGAGGAAGACTGCTTTCCTGAAGTTTCGCTAGCACAGATTCACACACTGTGTGACCACTTGTATCAGGGTGAGAGGATAGACACAGCTAGCTACCAAACTTGAGTGAGTGTATAGGGAAATTCCTGTTTTACTGTATAGTTTCAGCTTAAAGAATTGGTGATTCTTATTTTGTGGAAATTCTTATTTTAACTTAAGCAGTATTTTCTTAAGCAAGAAAACTCAGCTGGTTTCTATAAGCTCCTTGAGAGATACTTTGATCAGCTTATTTTGATGCAGAAGGGGGATGGCTGTATATTTTTGCTCTTTTACCTTGGAAATGAATTTAAACATTGTGCAGCAAAGATGCTGTCGGTTCAGGCTAAATAATGTCAGGTTTGCCAGCACTCCTTTTGAAATATTTACCTCACTCATACATCATTAATCAGACGGTTTGAAGTTATACTGAGTAATTCCATAAAAGATGTTGAGAAATCAACTCCACCCATGAGAAGGCTGAGGAACAGAAGTCTAAAGTTAGTGGGGCATCTACTGGCGATTTGCTGCAATGAATTAATCTACTCCATAAAAGTCTGATCCAAATACTTCTCCTGTACAGGCTGTTCTGTGTTCATTTTGTTTTGGCAAATAAGCAAGTGCCAGGCCTGTTTCTTGAGCTCTTTGGCCAAAATACGAATATCTCCTTGAATAAATCCTTACTTTTTGGCACTCCTTTTGAGATGTCTGACACATAAATTGCAATAGTAGACTTGTGAAATATCTTAGTTAGAAGAAGAAAGGAAATGAGCTAAAGAAATTTGTCAAAATATGTGATGCAAGTCTTTAACAATCTCCAACTTCCCTCAATCCCAATCTATCAGGACAAGTTCTCTATCTGGTAGTTCATAAAGCTGTCTTCTTTGTACCAGGAGCTACTTGTGATATTCTGATGTGCTGCCCAAGGATGTGGAAATGAATACAATGCATAAAAGAATGCAACAATACAATCATAAAATACAGAGCAACCAAACACAGGTCATTATCCACACAACCTAAAAATACCTTCCTCTGTTCTTCAGAAAATGTTGTATGCAGCAGCATGGTATTCTGTACAGTATTAAATAAAGTTTAACAACTTCTGCAGAATGCGTTTTAAAATGTCCCAATTTTATTTTTTATTGTGCATCACTACTTTGGACCAGTGGGAGGGTGTCATCGTCAGGCTGGCGCATTTCTAGCTACAGAATTCCGTGTTTCATCTTTTTGTGCACATTAGGCAAGGATTTGGAAGGAGCCTGGGGGGCTTTCCCAATCATGTCACTAATTTCATTGTTAGGACTAACATTTTAGAATCAAACAATAAGCATGCAAAAAGCTTGCTAATATTTCTACTTGGGCATGCACTTGTGAAAACAAAACAAATAAACAGCAAAGTAATGCTAACCTGGGAGATGATCTGATCGAACTGTTAAAATATCTTGCTTCTGCTGCCCTTATAGGTATGTCATCTTTGCATAGACAGTAAAGCAGAATATTTTCCAAAAACTTTAAAAAATCCTGTTGCCTTAATAGAACAGTAGTCATACATCAAAGTACAAAAGCACCCTTACTTCTGCTCTGCTGCACAGCACACTTCTAAATTTAGCTCTGCTGGGGAATCAATTGCTTTATATAATCTCATCACAAGCCATTGTTGCAAAAAAGCCATCTGAGTCTGTCACTTGACTTTGGGCAGAACACCAGCCTTTGTTCAGCTTTCTTCAGAGCTACTTTTGCCATGTATGTTAGAAGAATCTATAACCAAGCAGCGATTTCAGCTGTCCTTTTCTAAAGTCAGTGGAGTAAGCAAAAGTAATTTTAGTCTTGTTAAACTAAGCAAAGATGCAAGTACCTTCTCTTTCAGAGAACTGTTGGCTTGTTGGGGTCTTTTTGCTCATTCTTTAGCATGTTCTGTGCTTCACTTCACTCGAACTTTTGACACAGCAGAAGAGATGCCAGCTTTCTTTTGTTTAGTCCTTACAATACTAATTTTCTTTTTTGTAGTCTTTATTAGTAGAAGGAAAGAAAAAAAAATAGTTGTGATTGATAGCCACAAACCACTTTGATCTCGAAAATACAAGGGATGATGGATTACTGTGTTTAATCTTTCTTCTGCTTTTATTTTTATCCACAAGCCAGATAATACCCGATTCCAGCTTCCAAACCCATAATTTCTTCTGGCTTAAGAAATCCACGGCTGTAAACTATTGAAGCTGGGAGAAATCTTTAGGGAAATATTGCAGTATGTTTGCTGTGTTCTTTCCATTCTTCCTCTGCATTGGCAAAAATGTGCCTTGGATGACAGTGGGTTAGATAGGTGTTTTTGTACAGCTGCTGTTCCAAGCGTGTGTGTGGTTGGTGATAGTGATGGGGGGGAAAAGTCCCAGCAGAAATTACTAATAAAAAAGAACGGAGCAAAAATATCTCTAAGTTAACCTAAGACCTCTTAAGCCTGCAGTTACTAAGGAGTAAAATCGAGGCACCTTTTTCTAGGAAGCAAAACCATTTCCTTCATTTCCTGAATCCTGGGACTTTTGTAGATGAGAAGCTGTTGCCAGTGATGGCCAAATAGTAGCATTTTCATTATTTTATGTCTAACTTTAAAGATTTGGCTGCTTAGTCAGTACACTTACTACTTTCTGTGTAGAAAATAATTCATTAATAGTGGCTGAATCTGAGCAGACAGTATGGAATAATAGTGTGAATTACAGAGAATGGCTATGACTGCTTGCCTGGAGTTTTTGGCACGGCATTGCCATAAGAGCGCAGAGGCATGCTTCTGGGTAGTCTGAGGGTTGTAGAGCCCAGGCACCAACTGGGGAACCATCGTTCAAGAAGGTATGATGCTGTAGCCTTTGTAAGCTTTCTAATGTAAAAATGTTTTGATTAGCAAAGTCTAGAAAACTAAGTTTTCAAGTGAACAGTTACCTATTACTATTATGTATGGTTACTTGAGAAGAAGCCAATGCTTCAAATCAGGATAATCCTTTATTATGTTGTTTTAAAATTAGTCTTGGGTGCATCTTTTACAAGACTGTTTTCTGTCAGCCTCTCCTTAAGGATTTCCATCCAGTCTGTTTGGCACCTCCAAGTGCATCAGAGGCTCTGATTGATAGATTCTGTCAGGAAACATGAATTTGTGCAGAACTGTAAAGACCTATTCTAGAGAAAGACATGCATTAAAGATATACTGTCTAATTCAATTGTATAAATTGAAATTATCCTATTAACTTTCATATTTAAAAAATATCATGCTGTTTACTAAGATGTTGTACTCAAAAAGAACACAAGGCCCCCCTCCAGTGCAAACTTGTTCTATGAGCTTTAGTGTTGGGAGCAGTGGAAAGCATGTCTATCTACACTGCACTATTCCACATCTTTGGAATTCTATTTAATCACAGAAGTCTTCTTTAAAAACATTAGACTATTAACCACTACTGCTCTATAGGCCCACACAGAAGTAGGAAAGCACAAAAGCTTTTCTGAGTGCTTCTAAAGGAATAAACATTCAGGAAGCCTGATTCAGCATCAAACCCACAAAATCTTACCCTCACTGATTTTTAATATGACACAGGTAACGCATTTCATATGATTCTGTGATTAAACTCTGAACTTGACCTATGTTTGCCCACTTGCCATCCACTCAGGTGCCTTGTGGTTCCCCATGGTAGCTGCAGACTCATTTAATTTTTTAATGCATTTCAGACAGATGGATAAAACTGTAGAAGTTCTTAGGCATACTCCTAACTCTGATAGGCAAAGCTAGGGTATCCCTCACTGGAACGTGTAACAGTTGTAAGTGACTAGCAAAGACTTCATTGTTAATAAGGCAAATGCTTTTTCAGCAATGCAGCTTTATGGTGGTTAAGAAGCTTGTGTGTATTAATTTGATGTGTTTATTATGTCCTCCCACAAAATGGAGAACTGGTTCAGAAATGTTAAATTGCATTGTTATTGTAAAGTATGTTAACTTGCTCTGTTATTTTAAAAAATTGGTAATTCCTTAAAATTTTAGGCAAAAATTCTGTTTTTCTTTACATGAGAAAGAAAGTGAGACTTTCCAAAGTTCACTCTTAGCACAGTTAAATAGTTCCAGGTAATAAAAAGTAGGAAGAATAAGAAGTGCAGGGAAGGGAGCAATGCAAAATATTACTGTTTTGTTTGTGTCTTAGACAGGAAGAGAAGTGGCAGAAACAATTCTGTGCTTCTACAAGACACTAACATTCTTGTATTCCTTTCTTTTTTTCCTTGTATGTTGGGTGGTTGTGGGATGGGTTGTTCCATTGAGGCATTTCAGGAGCTTTCAATAGAAGAAAGATGCACATCCAGCAGAAGTTAGTAAAAATGTACTCGAGCAGTTCTATGATTGTAATCATACTGGCACCACAAAACAATCCAAGCTGGCCACCTACATCAGCTGTAAAAGAAGGAAATAAACATCCTAAGCATTTTAGTTTAGTCCAACAAGGAAACCAAACCTTGCCAGGTTCAAGTGCTAAATAAATTCAATATAAATAATCCATTGCTTTAAGAAAACAGAATTAATATTCTTAAGAATGTTTATAAGAGAAGACTAATGTGTCTCTTAAAATTCTAAATAAAGAAGATAAACAGAACACATCCACTGTGAAACAGATACTTAAAATATTTCCTGTTTCTATGTCTTTTTAGCTGTTTTCCTGCATCTCCTCCCCATGTTCTCCCTCTCCTCTCTGAATCCCGTAAACATCAGTATTCTTACAGTCCTGTGTGTGATACAGCCGTAAACCAGTGCCAGACTTAATTCTTACTCTCAGCTGCTGCCCATACTGTGGGTTCTTTAATGGGATGAGAGGAGAGAGTATCAAAAATGACCATGGGGCAGACATGATTATTACCATTATAACATAAAAGGCATTGCTTTCTGTTTAGAAACCCACGTAGGCTATGACTCGGGAACGGATAGAATAAAAACCAGGTTTGTTTGTGTGGCCTACTTTAGTTTAATTATTAATCAGCAGTAAATAAATGTTAAACATTCACTTACCAAGCAACTCGGATATAGTCAAGGCCTTCTGCTGCTGAGTTATTTTGTAGCTCAGATCACTATATTTAATGTCAATACTCACAAGGTTCTGCCTAATGACAAACACATACAGCCTTACTAGAGACATTCAGGACTGCTATTCACTTTCAGCAATGTTTATCAGCATGGACAGAGTCAGGAAGGTGTGATGGTGTCTTTTAAAGAACAATTAGAGTGTTACCAAAATGAGTTAAATGACTGAAGGAAAAATTTTCTAATGCCAACAGTTAGAAGCTTATCAGAGGAGTAGATCTTCAGGCTGTGCTGAGAAAGTAACTCTAGATCTGTACTGTGAGATAGACTTGTACTTTTTAAGGGTCACAGAGATAAGCTTTAGTGAAAGTGTCAAGCATCCTGAACTACAGTGGATACAGTGCTTGAAAGCACAGTTTATTGCTCCTGTGTGCAACTGCTGTTTAATTGTGCTTATTTCAATGAGCATGTTTGTGCAGAAGGGGCTTTGTCCTATATGCAGATGTTTAGTTCTATCCTGTGCTAATAGCCTCATTTACCTAATTATTACCTAATTACCTCATCTGTAGATTATATTCTTGTCTGTTGCAAAAGTGGAAGAGTAGTTAAATCTGAGTTGGAGCAAGACCTGTGAAATTATTCAGTGTGAGTAAAGAGCTCATCATTGATATCATGTCTGCCGAAAGAATCTGCCTAACTCCTGAACAGAATATAAACCTAATGATTGTGGAATAAACCAGACAAAAAAAAACCTGATTGCAAACATAATGATGGACCTTTAAGAATAAAAGTACTGATTATTCTTCAGAAGTGCAAAGAGCTGCAGATTTTTGGCTTGACAGTGATAATGAGCTCATTAACAATATTCATGATAATGAAATATTTGCTGTACAAAATAATCACTTCTGTATCTTTAGGTGATAATTCTAAAACTCAAGATAGCACTGAATAATAAAAATAATATCATTTTCATAACTTCTATTAGTAAGACTTCCTACCATTGTCATGGAGTTGCTAGCAGAATTATCCAAATAAATATTTAACTTTTCCCTCCTTACATTTTCAGAAAGAAGTAGATTTCAATGTTTTATAGTTTGGAATAGGTACTCATTAATACAGGGGCAGGAATCCTATTGGTTAAGGCTTGGTAACAGGGGAATGCTCTTTATTTTCACTTGCTTAATTGAATAATTACTGAATCATGCATGATGTTTACAGACAATAAAATAATCAACAAAGATAATAAGGATTAATACTTTTGCATATAACAACATGTTTGATTTTCATAATCTTCGCTGGAGATAGACTTCTTAATAGGGTCTGTAGCAGCAGGACAAGGGGTAATGGGTTTAAACTAAATGAGGATAGTCTCAGACTAGATATAAGGAAGAAATTTTTTAAAGTGAGTGTGGTGTAACACTGGAACAGGTTGGCCAGAGAGTAGTTTCCAATCCCTGGAAGTGTTCAAGGTCATCTTGGACAGTGCACTGAAAAACCTGATCTAATAGATGTCCCTGTTTATTGCAGGGGGTTGGACTAGATGACCCTTAAAGGTTCATTCAAACACAAACTATTCTATGATTCACATAATTACTGCTCACATGTAAACATATGTAGACTGATGGCCTCAAGAGTAAGAAAAGTGAAGTCACTGAAACAATGAAATACAGATATTTCATTAGCCAAATTTTATGCAGTTCTTTAGAAACGTATTTCAAGACCAGGTTGGATGAGGCCTTGGGTGACATGGTTTAGTGTGAGGTCTCCCTGCCATGGCAGGGGGGCTGGAACTTGATGATCTTAAGGTCCTTTCCAACCCTAACTATTTTATGATTCTATGATTCTGTTTCAATGTGTGGACACTATGAATTCATGTAGCGTGTCTTAATACTTGCACTGTTAACATCTGTGTCTGTGAGCAAGAGGCAGTTCAGTCTATAAAACTGTATTAAATGCTCTTTGACCACTAGATAGTATCTTTCAAACTCAAAATCATTCTATTTCTGAAGATGTAATACTTGCTTGCAAGGAACTCTGGTATCAATTTATTATATGGTAACCATAAGGCATGTATGCTCTATTAAAGCATAAACATATATGATATCTCTTCTATGAAATTAAAAGTATGTAGGTTGTCAGCTCAATGCTACTGCTGAGTGACACAGCACTATGCGTAACAAGTTCTAACACCATTTCCTGGTTAAAAGGTGTAGTCAATACTGTTGAGACATGTTTTCACGCTAAAAGGTCCCTTCTTTTGGGCATAGACCTACTCCTTTGCTGTGTAGTCTTTTCAGTCACACAGAAACGTGCTATTTCACTCTTCTGCTGTCTCATAAGGGTTAATATTGTACTAAATATTTTCTAAATAACTTCTATAATATAAACTGTATTAGTGGATTCTACTAACAATAGAAAAGAATAATAAACTTGTGATATTATTGCTACACTAAAACCTAACTCATCAGTGCTTACAGAGTTTCCTTTGAGAATGGGTTGAGAGAAAGCAACTTAATATAGTATCTATTTAGGTGGTTCATTGACTTCAGTTGTGGAAGGGTGAAGATTTATCTTCTCTATTGGATGGATTGTTCATGTGGACTGTAGGTAGAGTTGATAACCTTGCCCTTTATTTTTATTTACAAAAGTGATCAGAAAAGCCCACTTTCTTATAAAAGATCAGTGACAGAGTAGCTAATTGAAAACATTCCTTTTTTATTGCGGTATCTATTTTACATTATCCACAAGACTTAGATGTATCTAAGTATTTTAATATATATGAATATGTCTAAATTTAGCCAACTTTGTCTAAGACTTTTTTATCTCAGAGACAGCATTATTAATATCTCACATAAGAATGTATTTTTTAAAGGTCATATTTAAATCATATGCTCTGTTAGTACACTTAAAAGTAATTGATAATTTCTTTATTAGACAAGGTGTTAAGCAAGATTACCTGATGTATTCTGGGTTTTTCTTCAGTTTTGCAGAATAGTATTTTATAGCGTTTTCTCCTCCAAAACTTGAATATGTGACAGTAGTAGGATAATCTGTTTCTTCACATGGGGCAGGGCAAGTGGAATTGTGGGTTCCTACTGTACATAATCCTTTCATCTCTATATCATCTGAAATGTCAAGATAAAGAATCTACATAGAATTTCTAAAAAAAGCATACAGCTTAAAACCTTCTTTTAAAACTTACAAAATAAGTATCTGTAACTGGCATTTGGGAAACTGGTGCACATTGACAAGGGTTGAGATTTTTATGTCCCTTTTCCCCAAGGAAATTCAGCACCCAGAAGTGTTTCCTCCTCATTAGGGATTTATGTGCTTGTTATTTTTCATTCAGTTAAACAGCAGGACAACAGAAGACTCTCCATGTTCTGTGCTAGCTTTCTGATTATGTGCTTAGGTGTATAGTTTTTGGTCTTGGTGCCTTGATGTCTGCCTAGCTCGTTTTAGTGCACAGAAACAGCTTCCAGAGCAATGCCAGTTGCAGTTTCCTATTATCTAATAACTACATAAAAATCTTGGTAAGATAATTCACTTTACCTTAACCCCTGTCTGCAATTTGATAATTGGGCTTAAGACAACTAAGAGGGTTTAGGGACAGCTTTTTTTCTTCAAATACCAAAGAGAAGCCACAAGATGCTGCAGGTCTGGCTGCTCATGAAGTTGAGGAGCTATTCCTCAAATAGTTACAGAAATCCAGGAAGCATGGAGAAAATTAATGTAGAAGAAAAATGGTAAGGCATAAGTGTTTCCTAAATCATAAACCATCACCCATAGGTATCTGGTACTCTGAGATGAGTACCATAACCTCCTGCTTGTGATGCTGTGTTTGTCCTGGTGTGGTGGTGGCCGTTGTATTTTAGGGCTTTTGCAGCCTGCAGGGGAGGAGATATCTCAACCTGCTAGTTGATGATTTGAGGTGCTCTCCAGGGATGCTGGTGGTGTGGATTTTATTGATAGCCAGCCTTTAGGGTTCCTAAAATATATGCTCTCACCAGTGGTAGGTCGTGCAGATAGTGCTGTCATTTGAGAGTTTCTTATCAGATGTTTAACTTCTCCTGCACTGTAAAAGGAGACTAAACACCTAACTTGGGGATCTGGGGAGCAGACGCCTACAAGCCAGGTTCCCCATGTACAGTACTGTGATGCCATTTCCTTGTGGGGTACAACCCTTGTGGGGTTATTTTGTTATATTGCTCACTGGTTTCATTGAAACTTGGTTACAGAATATCCATTAAGTAAAACAGTATACACATTTCCACCATGACAGGCTATCAAAGATTGTGATTATATAAGGTTGTGAACTCAGTGGGATCTATTTCAAGACAGCCACAGGAGAGATAATCATTGTTCCTAGTAGTAGATCTTGCATGAATATTGCACACACCTAATCAAAACAGAAAAAAACCCTGCACAGGCCCACCAAAACTTATTAATCTACCTGTTATCTTAATCACCCATTCCTTTGGGAGAGTCAAGAATCCAACACAACTAAAAAGGAGGCCTTCTAGAGTTCATGAGAAGTTACTTCTCAGGCTGCCAGTTGCAGTATTCTCCAGAAAATCTGCTGTAGTGGTTTACAGATTCTGTATCTATTGTGTGCACATTATTTGATTACAGAAATTACTTGTATTTGGAGCTCTTTGAAAACCTATAATTCATTTTACTATTGAAAAGGTAAAACTTTAAAGTCCAGTGATTTTCAATTATATTTTCTATCAGCTGAAAAACCTGTTATTACTGTGCTGTTCACTTTTCTATCACAAATATAAAGAATACAACGTTGGAGCTAGAAGGATGATACTTTGAAGATGCAAGACAGAGGCTTGATAATGGAAAACAGACTAATTGAACACTCTTCTATTTTACACCATTTCTGATTAGTAAAATTAATTCTTATGTTTGATTTTGTGATTTGTTGGGTGTTTTGGTTTTTTGTTGTTTTTTTTTTTGTGTGTTTGTTTTTTTTTTTTCTAATTGGCATCTATTTAAAGCTCTATTCTGGTCTCTATTTGCAGAATATTTAATGAACTGGGATGTACTCAGTTTCAGTACTGTTTTTGGTATTGTTTTAGTTGATGGGTACTGTCATTTCAAATTGGCTTAGAAAATATAAAGTTATTACTTACAGACTGCCGGATAAACACAATTGTAATACTTCAGCAAATCACATTCTGTTCCATTTCCTGAAAAATAAACAACAAACTTTAGGAACTTCAATTAGAGTCTAGGCCTTAGCTCTGTTTGTACCCCAATGAAACATAATGTCATGGAAGCCTGCTTAGCACTTCTTGTTTATCATTATACAACTGAGAAATCAATTTGTTTGGGCATGATGCAGTTACCAACACCAAAAGGGGCATATAATGATGAAAGACAACAGACCAAGCCAGGAAGCTTGTTGTTGTAGCAAACATCTTTATTTTGTGTGCCAGACAGAACTGCCTTTAAGCTTGTGGTGCACTTTTTGTGTTAGCTTGCTGAAGCAGGGAATTTCTGCTTTTCTGAGTGGAAATGAGAAAACAAAATAGGGTAGATGGGATTACACCCATCTATGATTACACCCATGTATGATTACACCCCATGTGTTTCAGCAAAAGTTTCGAACTTCATGCAAGAGTTAATTGGAGACCTAAGGGGTAAGACAGCACCCTGAGCTAACAGTAAACTTTTCCGATTTCAGATGATCTCAGTTTCACCCATTTTTTCCCTTGCATGGAAATACTACTTTGCAGTTTGGCACACAGTTAAAGAAGGCATTGCCCTCCTTTATCTAACTAGTACTGTATAAAGCTCTCACCCTGGGTAGGGAGACCTAGATTTAATTGCCTTCTCAAACTCCTTTCCATGAAAGTTCCCAGGAAATTGCTGACCTCCTTTCCAAGAGGCTGCCAAACAAATGAACTGGAGATCACCCATTAATGGGTCTCCCTTAGTGAAAACATTCTGCCTTGCCTTGTAACCTTATCTAGGTGTTCCTGCTCCGGCAGGGGGATTGGACTAGATGATCTTTTGAGGTCCCTTCCAATCTCTGGCATACTCTGATACTGTGAATATTTAAAAATATATCGAGTGAGAAAGTGGAGGCAGGACAGTGCTTTCTTACCCCCTAATTGTGAAAAAAGAGCTGTGGGAGCAGAGATTTGGGTTCCAGCTCTTGCTCTAGAGAGAGGTGACAATATTATCATTGCTTTTAATGCTGAAAAGGTGGGAAAGAGGAGACTTTCCCTATCTCCTTTGCTGTTCAATAATAGGTGAGGACTTCTAGCAAGATGATCAGTGTAGGGGTATGATATGTCTGAGAAATACCTGGAAGAATGAATGGCAAGCAGCCACACCAGTCCTGTATGTACTGGGCTTTGCATTCCTGCAAACATCCATTAGTACTATAAATCCTGTGGTAGCGAAGCTTTTTATCAGGCTTGCACTCTCCCCATGGGTATTCTTGGATAATTGACTGTAGGATAATAATAACAGAAGATATATAGAGATATATATATTGTCTCAGTTTTAAATTTAGATGTTATTTTCTCACAATTTAAAGTACTAAGGAAGACTGTTGAAGGCATAAGCAGTAACATTGTGAGGCAATTGGAGGCAATTACAGGTTATGCTTTTGGGATTATAAAATCAACTCCTCACAGCAAAAGTAGGACTTGATCAGAAAGCCTAGTGCAGAAGAGTAGTGCACTCCACTTGGATTCCACTAGGAATCTGAGACAGTCTTAATGCTAACAAAATATGCTTTGGTGTCCTTGTATCATTATATGTCAGCGAGATTGTAAGATGTTAGGGAAGAAAGGCTGATTTGAATAGATACTGATTATAACGACCAGTGACACCCTCCTCTGCCACCCCAAAATTGAAATAATTTTGTTTGTCTATGAAGGAAATGTTATTTTTAGGAGTCCCTTTGGCATGATAAAATACTTAACTTCCAAAATGTCTAACTCATGGTCATAGTTCAGAAGAGAAGTAGAGACAGCAAAGACCAATATTTCCCCTTGATGGACAAAGTCCTTACCTTCAGCTGGCGGATTGCAACCTGTGCATGCATTCCAACTGGTGTTAGTAAACCTAAACCATCAAAGTGTGGAAGCTCTCTGGGTGAATGGATATCAAAAGTTACCCCAGCATCAGTATAACCAAGAGAAGGTTCATCGGTGAATTGTTCCTGATGCAAAAAGAATTATTTAAAGTAGTTTTGGCTCTGCTTACCATCTGAAGCTTTAGCTATATTTAAAATGGTGCTGTGCTTTTTGATTTGGTCTTGTATCTCTAGTTGCATTTTAGGCAATTTACAGATAAGTATAGAAGCAAGCTGACTTGAATTTTCTTTGCTAATGGCCTCTGTGGGTTTCCTTCCAGTAACTATAAAATTCAGGGGTGTTTTTTATTCCTTCTGTTATCTCCCAGTTTCAAAAGCAAGAAGACATAGATAAACATTTACTCATAACTTGGATATTTTCTCCTTTTACTTGCAACTACCCATCACATTTCAGCAAACTTTCCATTACTCTCTCCAGAACCTGTCACTCCTGTCTCGTAATTCCTAAAGAATAAAAGCGAATGCCTAAGTCATTTATCACTCAAAATATTAGTTTTCCTCACTGACCTCACAAGGTGATATTAATTTTCTGGGTTTTATTGCTCAAAGATAATTCTAATGAGGCCAGAAGCTATAGTGCAAAGACCAAGTCTTAGCTGTCATTGAGCACTTACAGCTGCTGCAACTAAAATCCAGTAATGCTTTAGAAGCTGGCACCATATGACCTCCCTTACTGGGCCTTTTATTAAAATGAATTTATGTCACCCCAAAGTGCTTGTGTAAAATGAGATCACTGCTCTCATGACATGTTTTGACTGTAGGTGAACTGTGCATATGTGCATATACATTCACTTGCAACTTTCAGAACCATTTAGCTGGGGACAGAGTCAATAATTCTGACTTTGAAAATCTGTGTTAGATCTTCCCTTGAAAATACCCTCTCACTCAGAAATGGTCTTCATATAGAAATCTGTGCGTGAAATTCTGAAGGTCTGTGTAAAACCAGCCAAACAAAAACACAAATCCAAACCAAACCAACTCAATTCAGCTGCAAGTTATTACATGAAATGTGATTTATAATCATTAGGATAGCTGTACCTGTTGGACATCAAAAAGCAAATGTAAGCCTCTTCCAGACACACTCACTCTTCTTGCTGCAAGATCATTGTGATTAAAAGTAAAGCAGTTTCCATATTCAGTGAAAACATGTTCAAAATCCTTCAATAAAGGAAAATAGGGAAGAGTAAAAGGAAAGAAGTTTCCGTAGTGAATTACAATGCAAGAGATGGGCTACTGGAGTGTTTGTTTTTCCTAAAGGCAATGCTAAATGTTTCAATCAGAAAAGTGCTAATTGATGGAAATATTCAGAAGGATTTCACCCTTTCCGTAGGAAATTAAGTTTAAAGGAGAAATTTCATGTTATTAATCTGTCAGCTGCTCAGAATCATTTAATGAAGTCCTGTTTATCTATACCTTATAGAAATTATATAGTTACATTATCTAGAAATATATATTATTTAATAGACATATATTCAAAACCAACTTGTTTAATTTTTTCAGTACATGTTTAGTGAAGATTGTTTCAAATCTAAATGTCATGTTACACATGAAAGTATAGTATTTGCTTTAGTTTTAGTTATTAACACTAGTATCTTTCAGTCAAGAGGGCTCTCCAATGACTAATTTTATAAGTTGTAGCATATCTATAGGTTATATCTGAAAGAATAAGGTCCTGACTTTTCTGTTCATGTTTTCTATGTAAGTTGGGAATTGCTCTATGGAAGAATTGACATAAAAATACAACGATCATATTCTTTGGTTGTTGTCCAAAATTCCCAAAGCTGGACTATTTTCACCTCATTGTTTAAAATTCCTGTGGAGTCTGCATGTAGTTACCCTGGCTGTCTGTATTCTTGACCTCAAGAACAAAAGTATGTAATCATGTATTGCAAAAAAAACTTTTCAAACTGACCTTCATTACAGGCCATTTATGGACAAGGTTGTTGGATACAGTCTGAAGGTTTGACAGTTGCCAAAGGCTGCTATCTCCAGTGCAGAAGTGACACTGGACTGAGAGCAATTTAGACCGAAATTGCATTTTACAGCTCAGGGAGTCCTGCAGGCTGTTTCCACAGTCAGTGGGAGAACTGGGGTCCTCAGGGTAGTTTAGAGCAAAACTTTCTTTCTCCATTGGGTAACTGTAAAGGAACAATAGTGGGGAGTAGCTGGCAAAGATAGGTGTCTCAAGGGGGGAGTGATAAGAATATACTTCCCTTCTCCTTATTTTATTAGTAAAATAAACATCTTTACCTGCGGGTAACATGGCTTTCCAAAAAAGTCACATTCTAGCAATGTGCTGTTGTTCAGATAAAACCCATTTTTCTTTGTAAACTCTTTGATGCTGAAATTCTGGTTCCCAAGAAGAAAATCATTGAGCTCTTGAGAATATTTATTTTCCATAGAAAAATTGTGGAGTACTCCAGACACAATGGTCCAAATGAAAAAAATTATCTTGAGGTTGCTTACTGCATGAGCTTGGAACCTGTCAAGGGAAGGAGAAAAAATTGCTTAGTTCTGTGCATCTCAAAGCTGCTCTTGCCAAATCTGTGAGACAATTTGTTGTCTGCATGCAAAATGTGATTCTTGCCCACCACAATGCACTTTGGTCTCTACAATATAAATATATAAATTCTATATTCTATATTATAATTATATATTCTAGATATATATTATATTATCTAAACAGAATAAAAATATACTCTCCATTTCTAGGAAGCTATTTTCCATATCTGAAAACAGAAAATGGACACCTTCCCATGGCTATTCTGGTCAGTCTTTGAACACATTTCTGTAGATTTGCCATCTGTGTAAGACAACAACCAGATTTGTAGAACTGATGAAAAAATGAACAGTTATATTTACATGTGGGAAACTAGCTGGGAGGAGCCATTCCTTTCAAAAAAGCTGTCTTCTAATACTTATGAAATTGATCTGTAAGTGTATTTGCAGTGCTCTCATATACCTGCTTTACTAAGGCACTACACCCCAGTGTAGAGACAATCTACCTTCCCATAAGCTCTGTGGCTCCATGGTGAATATTGTGCACTATAACCCAGGGTGGCTTTACATGGGGCAATGCGAGGGATGCAAATAGTTCCAGATATTTGAGACTGGGACTTCTAGCTGATTCTGCCAGGGAAAGGCAGAAGACTGAGGAAACAATGTGGGTAAACTTTCTGTATTTCTAAAACTGTTCCTAAATTACATATTTGCTCTAAAAATCAGGCCATAGGTTTGTAAAATTATTTTCAAAGTGGCCGCATCTGAATGTTGGCCATTATCTTCAGATGTAGTAATCTGTAGTGAACTTCCATGACTTCCAAACAGACCAAATGTTTCCCTCCTGAAAACCCCACTGACACCAGCTAGAACCATAAAGTTTGACCACCTCTGAAAAACAACATCTGCTTTGTCCAAAATTTCTACATTTGTCTGAGGTTTCTGTTTGAATATCTGTGTTTGCAAATCTTGTGTTTTATTTTTAACTTGGGTGTAACTGATGACTGTCCCTCAGTTGCACTTTAGAAGCAGTGCTTGTACATAGAAGAGCACCACCAGAGGTGTTTCTATTCCAACTTATGTTTTGAAATTTAAAAATCTGTAGTTCAATTGTTCATCTGAAGGAAGGGGAAGATTAAAAAAGCAACCCTCTACTTGGTTCTTGTACTTTCCTCTTCATTTGGATCTCATATGTGGTGTGGAAAACATGCCCCTCGGAGACATATTTACTTTATGTGATTTGTTAAGGCATCCTGTGGAAGCCAACTGTTTTCACATATAAAGGTATTGCCTCTAAAGAGCAAATAACAAACATAACTTTTACCTGTTCAAGTTGCAGAAAGTCACAGCAGGGAATTGGACATTTTCCACATACTGAACTACCATTGTAGTTGTGGTTGGCCAGGTGAAGTAGTAGATGAAGCGGCTGCAGATTTGCCATATAGCAATGGCAAAACAGCCCATGACTACAAACAGCCACAGCACTTTGCGAGTCTTGCTCTGTGTTTGAACAATATTATGCACTCCATGAAATGAAGTGGATGAGGCAAACTCCTGATGATAATTCCTTCTGTCATCCAAATGTGGCACCAGTTTCTTTATTAAGTACAATTGTATCTTTTTCAATATTCCTTAATATGGAACAAAGTGAAAACACATTTGTAAAATTAGCATTTAAATGACACTTAAAGGAAACCACATAATTTTGATGTTGGAAGCAGCTGTAAAATTTTTCTTTAACTGTAAATTCTCTCTTTAAGTAGTGAACTTGCTTCTCAGGATGGAAGAATTGTGTGCTGCAAGATGAGCTCAGTGCTGTCTGGGAACAGACTATATCTTGCAATATTTCAAGCACACAAATTTTTAAGCACATTAATATAAAAGGGTAGTTCCACTTCTGTCGAAAAGATTGGATTTTGACATACCTCAGTGATATAAGACCAGAGGTTGCTGTGAACCTACTGTAAAAAGCTGAGCATCTGATTTTTACAGTAACATCCCATTAAAGGCCTGGTTCTTCATACTTGCTCTGAGAAATTAGGTAAAAAGGGAAAGATACGGAATCATATTAAAGGAAATTTTACTCTTTCATTATTAAAAGTTTTTGGATAAAACTTGAAGTTACAGGTTCAAAAGGAAAGCTACTGTCTTGGTTTTTAGGCTTGTACATGTCTGATTCCTTAACTTTGAAACAGGAATGTTTTTAGTTTTCATTTATCCCACTTTTCTGCAAAGTGATGTTAAAAAAAAATATTTTTAGATCTAAGTTTAAAAACAGTAACAAATATTATCAGTACCTGGAAATTTTTTTATGCTTGCTGCTGAATGAACTTTGGGCATGGATTTGAACACAATGTTCTCTCAAAACATCCAAATGAGGGAAACTTAATAAGTCCTTTCCTGTATCTAGTTATAATTGGACCAGTCTCTTTGCAAAGTGCTTCATTTTCAGATTGTTATCTGCTACTTTATTTTGTCATTCAGAAAGTCCATAGGAGCCATAAATTAAAGAAAGTTTGTGAGACAATAATGATTAGGACTTGAAAATATGCTTAGATTAGCATTTAACAAGAATTAAGTGCTTCCCTAATTCCTTTTTTTTTTTTTTTTAGATAGATTTAATAGTGTGGCATACATGGGAGGAAGATAATATACCCTTTATAAGACTGATTTACTTGAGGCTATTACAGTTGATCAGAGGATCAAAGGGATGTGAAAGGGTCATCTGCCAAAGCTATTGTGACCACATCAGCAATCTGGGATGCTGCTTTGGTCTCTGCACGGTCTGGGGCCTGTGATAATGAAATCTCAGATGATGCTAGATTTCAAAATGTTTCTGAAGGGAAAGAATTTTCTCTGTTTCTCTTTAAAGATGTAAGAACTTTGATCAGTACTGGCTGAGTTTATTGTGAACCCTTTTTATCATCAGGTTTCTGCTGGAAAACTGTTCAAAAGATTCTCTCCTAGCTCTAGTGACTATTACATCCCATTGCAAAGCTGTTCACTCACGTGTGCTTTTGTCTTGCTTTAGGCTTCCCTCTCACCAGCGCGTGTGCAGTGGGACACGCGCTTTGCTTCTTCCCTAAGTAACAGCAGAGCAAATTACATTCCTACCATGCGTCTGCGTCTGCTGTCCATAGCCTCTAGCAAGAGACCACAAGCAGTCAGACCCTATTCTCTCAGGAAAAGTGCTGTGTATATTCTTTCCTCCTATATACACTGTGCTAGGTAGAAGAATGATAGCATATGCCTACGTAAGAATGAACTGCCATCAAAACCCACTAGTTAGCTTAATCAGCAGCAGTGTAACTTAGAATTTATGCAAATATGTAACTACGTTGTATTTAGCTGTTGTGCATAGCTACTGCAGTAAATATACATGGTTTTATCTGATTGTGAAATTTTTGCTGTTAGTGCATAAGATTATCTAATATCATATTGCTGCTTTCATTGCTGTCTTTCGCCAGAGGAATTAGCACTACTAGGTGAGTGCATATAAGAATCCTTAGTCTACTTTTAGTTTCCATTAGAAAATGCTATAATTTAAAAAAAAAAAAAAAAAAAAAGATTTTTAACTACAAAGGATCATGTGGTTGAATTCTGGTATGAAATTTCTCATATGTGGTGGATTGGAAAACAGTATGAAATATGTGAATTAGGAGTAGCCATTTGCTCTGGTATTTGGTCTATTTGAGGAACAAGTACATTCCAGTGATATATAATTAATAATAGAATGGTTATTCCAGATCTCATTTAATAAATAATAATACACTACAATAATGCGTGGGTGTGAGATTATAAATTATTAACCCTTCATCCTATGCAAAGCTTGCTGTGTGTATCTGTACTAAGGTTGTGTAACCAACACAGATGAACTAGCTTTAAGTTGGGTATCTGTGGAGACAGTGTTCTCACAGGAGAATGGATAATTGGTACATAAACTCTGAATAATCCTGAAAGATACAGCAAGGCTGTGAGAGGCCCAAGGAAGCTTAAGCAAGCAAGATAAGAAGAAGCTGGAATTCACTGAGGTAATTGAGAACTGTGGACTGTTGCCAAGCTTTCGAGGTCAAGTTCCCACACCTGTGCTTAACCAATTATATGCTAGTTGCAAAGGGTCTTCAAGACATGTATCCAATCATAATATGCCAAATCACTGTAACTGCATGCAAGAAATAGTATTTAAGGGGTTAAGGCTTTGTAATAAACGGCTTTTTGTCTGATCATATTGATCTCTGACTGAGTCCATGTATATTCTGCGGCAATTGGTGCCCGAACAGGGACCCCCCCATATTTTTCATATTGAAACTGAAGGAATTAAAGCACGTGGCACCGAAGAAAGTGGAAAACGCGCAGCCACAGGGACGTCGGCTGGGTTCAATCAGGCAGGACCAGGATCGGGAGGTAGTCGCCTCGGAACGGAGCCTAGTGAGCCCGGAAGACACTGCGCAGTGCAAATAAGGTAACAGCCGACGGGGTCTGGAAGAGGGTTAGGATGGGGAATCAATTAAGTAAAGAAAAAATGGTCATCCTTAAGCTTTTCCAGCATATCCTCTCAGTGAGAGGGATAGAATATGACGATAATATGTTAAAAAGATTGTTGCTCTGCAGTAAAGAAAAAGAGCTGATCAAGGGGGTTAATGAAGCTTTTGATCTCGGGACTTGGAAAAAAATTGGGGCAGGCCTGTGGCATCAGGTTACTTGTGGGTTTAAAGAGGTGAAGTCTCTTGCTGCCCCCTGATTACTACTAAAAGGGACTCTAGCCGCAATGAAGGCTGAGAAACAGGCGGCAAAATCCGTTTTTACAGCTCTCTCTGACTCGCCTTCACAACAGCAGGGCTCAGCACCTACATTAGATTCAGCACCCGGTGCTACAGCCATGGTAGTGTCCTCTGCTTCAGGCATAAAACATTCTGGTCAAAAACTGGCGCGCAGTACAGTACGAGAGTTTGAGGACCCTGCACCTTTCCTCTATCCTGTGTCAACAACACCTCTGTCGGCGGTAGCTCCAGCTGATACTCGGGAGTCAGTAGCGGCTACTGAGCAGCCAAAACAAACTGATGTTAACCCTTTTCATGCTGCTACTGCCCCTGAACTTAGTCCCCAAGAATTTTTGCCAGGGTGGGAGTCTCCTGAGGAGGAGAGTGTAACTCCTTCACAACTCCTGCATTTTAAAAGTGGGTTTGAGGAGCTTGCTGCAAGGGCTGCAGATGAGAATTTAGAGTGTAATCCTCATCACCCTTTGCACGGTGTTTCATCTGAAATGTTATTGGGAAAGGGACAATTTCACCCCGATGAAGTACAAGCTTGTATGAAAATTGAAGTTTTACAGCAAGCGCAGCAATTGGCTTTAGCTGCCCTGAAAGCTGTGCCGGAAACGGGAAAACCTAATCCTTCATATACATCAGTAAAGCAGGGACCTACTGAGCCATATATGCAATTTATTGACAGATTGACAGAAGTTATCGAAAAGAATATTGATCTGGCATCTAATGCTAAAGAATCCATGCTTATGGCTCTGGCTATGGAAAATGCTAACCCAGCTGGTAAGCGTGTTTTGCAGGTTTTGCCAAAATCTGCTGGTCTTCAAGAAATGATGGATGCATGTTCTAAAGTGGGCACAGCAGAGGAAAAGGCTGGATACATGGCTACTGCCTTCATCGCTGCTGTTAAACCCTTCTACAACAAGGTCAGGGTGATCGTGGGTGTACTAAAGGACAAGCTATTATTGAACGAACACATCAAAGTTTGAAATAACTGTTGGAAAAACAAAAAACGGGGGAAGAAGGACGTACACCGGTAGCAAGGGTACAGAAAGCTGTATATGTTATGAACTTTGTGCAATTGACAGAAGACTTTAATGACCCCCCTGCTATAATACATGGTCGGGCATTAGGTTCAGGTTATATGACTAAAACTCCGGGTATTCGGGTCCGGTATAAGGACTTGGAAACCGGCATTTGGAAAGGTCCTGCGGAAGTAAAACTAACTGGTCGAGGTTATATGTGTATAATTACAGATTCTGGTCTGCGGTGGGTGCCAGCACGATGGGTGAAACCCTGGAAAGAACCAGCACCACCCCAGGACAACCCCCTTGTCAGTGATTGAATCAATTGAAATGTCAGCTTTTAGGGATGTTTTTCAGTCCTTCTTATAGTGAAGAGAGCAACCATTTTTACGTTAAAGTAAAAAAAAAAAAAAAACCAACCAAAAAAAAAAAAAAACACCATCCACCACCCCCCACCCACCCCCCCGAACCTACAGCGAGACAAACACGGGATACAGGCGTATTGCGTGCATTTTCGGTGATGGGAAGGTCTTTCATATGTTCTTATCAGGGGTATTGGGCATACTGTGACTCATTTAATACAGTCTCTCTGTGATACTCATGCACTAGAAGCTGGTAAAAATAAGTATGTCCAGGCTTCTATCAACCTTTGGAGACCTTTGTAGATATTGCTGGCCACTTCTTCCAGCACAGGCTGGCCACCTGTGTTGGAATGAGTGTGCATTTTGGTTAGTATAAAAGCCCAAGCCTCATGTGCTGTGGGGGAGGCAGAGCACTGTAAGTGCATGTAAGAAATAGTGTTTAATGGGTTAAGGCTTTGTAATCAATGGCTTTTGTCTGATC